TACAGTTGAAGTCAGAATTATTAGCCCCCCTGAATTATTAGCCCGCTTGTTTATTTTTTCCCCAATTTCTGTTTAACGGAGAGAAGATTTCTTTACATTTCTAAACATAATAGTTTTAATAACTCATCTCTAATAACTGATTTATTTTATCTTTGCCATGATGACAGTAAATAATATTTGACTAGATATTTTTCAAGACACTTCTATACAGCTTAAAGTGACATTTAAAGGCTTAACTAGGTTAATTAGGTTAACTAGGCAGGTAAGGGTAATTAGGCAAGTTTTTGTATAACAGGGGTTTGTTCTGTAGATTATCGATAAAAAGTTTAGCTTAAAGGGGCTAATAATTTTGTCCCTAAAATAATGTTTAAAAATTAAAAACTGCTCTTATTCTAGCCGAAATAAAACAAATAAGACTTTCTCCAGAAGAAAAAATATTATCAGATATACTGTGAAAATTTCCTGAATCTGTTAAACATCATTTGAGAAATAAAATCCGAAGGGGGCTAATAATTCTGACTTCAGCTGTATATATAATTAACTAATTAATCACACTTTTTTTGAAAATGTATCGCGATTAGACAAAAAAAAATTTAATTCAAATATAATTGTTTATTTTAATTTTTGTTTAACTTGTAACACAGATTTCTTCATGTAAACAACAAACCCACAATAAACCATCAAGATCCTGGCTTGACAGCCATATTTATTACAGAAATAAAAACACAGGCATGTTAAAGCCATTTGAATTTCAAAACAATCAAAGAAAAAAATTATTTCCAAGTTGGATTCTAAGTGGACTGCAAAAAAATGCCAAAATACAGGCATTGCAGATATGGAAAATTATTATAACAATAAAGTATTGAATATAAACAATTGCACTCATTTTCCTAGAGATGGGTTGCGGCTGGAAGGGCATCCGCTGCGTAAAAACTTGCTGGATAAGTTGGCAGTTCATTCTGCTGTGGCGACCCCGGATTAATAAAGGGACTAAGCTGACAAGAAAATGAATGAATGAATGAATGTTATTTTATAGCTCTGAGCAGCTGGTAGGGTTTTTTTATGTACTGGGCCTTTAAGGGTCCTCCTCACCCACCGTTTCCACGTGCCTATCCGTGTGCCTCAATCTCCTCCCTCGACACCCTCAGAAAACAGACAGACATAAAGGAAAAAGATCTCACGTAGTGTTTGCGTGAAATACTAAAGTAAGAACTTTACCAATGAGTATTTGATGCATTTGTTGTAGTTGCAACGATGAGTCACACAAATTGTCATTACAAAGTTCACGCACACATGCAGATACACAAACACACACAGCGCGGAAACACACACACAGACAGCCCGCGCGTTTAGCTTTGCACTCTTTTTGCACGCAAATGTGACAGGATACAGGTTAATCTCCACTGCTGTATGAATATCCGTTATGTTGATCTACAAAATAAACCTGATTTGATGTCCACAAACCGGGGCTGAAGCGTCTTTTATAACTGTACTGACACACGGCTGTGGTAATAAAGTAAGGACAGTAAAATCACTGTACTTCATTACACACATGCACTGTTTTAAAACGTTTTAAACTTGTAAAACTCACTCTTGATCACATTTGATGGTGATTGATGATCCTAGTAAACTGAACAGACCTTTTATTCCCGGTTGCTTTGTGCACGTCCGGTCTTGTTGATATGATTATACGTATCACTACGGAGACATGTTAATACGTAGCTGTCAATCAATTCGGTTCGGTGGCCAGGGGAACCGCACTCATATGTCAAGTTGCGGTCGGTCCGCTCTAATTGGTCCACCGTTTTTATGTTGTTAAACTGAAAAAAAAAAAAAAAAAGCTCTGGGTGTGTTTATATCACCCCAGTATGACGTCTATACAGTATACCTACACGCATGTCTTTCCAAACAGCTTGAAAAGTAGATTTTTCACCATAGGTGCCCTTTAAAAACCAAACAAAAAACTGTGGACTTTAATCATCATAATGTATTTTTCATTTTAAAAGAGTTCTCAAGTTTAATACCTTCTAAAACTACAGTATTTTATGATTTACCATAGTATAGGGTAGGACATGGGTAAATATTGCATTGTCATTGAGTGTAATAGACATATTAATACAGAGCTCATATATTATACTTATTCTGACCTGTAAAAGAAAACTTGACCAAGCTAAATCTGATAATGGGATCAAACCTAGAAGTACAGTAGCAACATATAAAGCTTTCAAATGATAATGGATGAATATTTTGGGGCCAAACTGTACAACAGTTTTGAAATCTATTTAAAAACCCTGTATGTTTGTAATCGGTCATCAGACAACAACTTATTCTTGATTTTTTTTTTTTTATATGACCTCATGAACTCATTGACATTTAAACCATTTCCAAACATTTTCATAAACCATATAGTCTTGCTTAGAAATCTAAACAGGACATCTTTAAGCAGCGCATATAAATAAACATGCTTTTCACCAAACAAAACCGAATAAAACAATCAATGAATCTGAGAAAACTTCATACCTCATCAAATCTGTCAAAACACGCTCCTTTCTGCATGAACTGAGGAACAGGCCTCTGCCAGTTGAACTCGTACGGTTTCGCCATTTGACCTGCCAAATGTAAAATAAAGCAAAATCATTCAGTACAAAACTCACCGTCTGACTGATCTCAGTCCTGCATGGGAGGTCCGTATAAATCAGGCCTGACTAAATCCCAAACGTCCAGCCCTAAAGATGTCTAGATCAACAGAGCATGTGCACTTTTAAGAACGCCTTCCATTCACAACTTTACATTATAGAGCTATTCCATGAACATGTCAACCCTAACATGAAACAAATTAAGTTTTCACCAAAATAGTGAAACCATTTCTAAGTTCCAAGTGTAGGCTTGTATTTTACAGTACTATAGACATACTCAAAAATGTCTCTGTCAAGGTTTTTTAACTAATATATTTGATTTACCAAAGTCACACAAGTGCCAATTTCACATCGGACACATCCATAATAGAGAGATGACACATCCATAAACAAGCTTTTCCTTCATAAATGTCAAATAAAATCAATGATTTTTGTTCTATAGTGAGCCAACTCTTATCCTTTTGATTAGCATTGTTTCTTTTGGGTTGAGTAGTTTAATTTATAGAATTTTGTACAGTGCATCCGGAGAGTATTCATAGCACTTTACTTTTTCCACATTTTTATGTTAGAGCCTTATTCCAAAATAGATTCAATTGATTTATTTCCTCAACATTCCCCACACAATCCCCCATAATGACAATGTGAAAAAAACAGTTTTTGAAATTGTTGCAAATTTATCAAAAATAATAAAGCTGAAGAATCACATGTACATCAGTATTCACAGCGTTTGCTCAATACTTTGTTGATGCACCTTTGTCAGCGATTACAACCTCAAGTCTTTTTGAATATGATGCCACAAGCTTGGCACACCTGTCTTTGGGAATTTTTGCCCATTCCTCTTTGCAGTACCTCTCAAGCTCTATCTGATTGGAGGGGAAGCGACAGTGTACAGCCTTTTTATGATCTTTCCTGGGATGTTCAATAGGATTTAGGTCTGGGCTATGGCTGGGCCACTCAAGGACATTCAACGAGTTGTTGTGAAGAAACTTGTGCTTTGGGTCATTGTTCTGCTGGAAGATGAACCGTCACCCCAGTCTGAAGTCAAGAGCACTCTGAAGCAGGTTTTTATTCAGGATGTCTCTGTACATTGCTGCATTCATCTTTCCCTCTATCCTGACTAGTCTTCCAGTTCCTGCTGCTGAAACACATCCCCACAGCATGATGCTGCCACCACCATGCTTCACTGTAGGGATGGTGTTAGCCTGGTGATGAGCGGTGCCTGGTTTTCTCCAAACGTAACGCCTGGCATTCACTCCGAAGAGTTCAATTTGAGTCTCATCAGAGCAGAGAATTTAGTTTCTTATGGTCTGAGAGTCCTTCAGATGCCTTTTGGCAAAATCCAGCCGGGGACTGTTTTCCTTCTGGCCACTCTACCATACAGGCCTGATTGGTGGATTGCTGCACAGATGGTTGTCCTTCTGTAAGGCTCTCTTCTCTCCACAAAAGAATGCTGGAGCTCAGACAGTGTGACCATCCGGTTATTGATCACCTCCCTGACTAAGGCCCTTCTCACCCGATCACTCAGCTTAGATGGTCGGCCAGCTCTAGGAAGAGTCCTGGTGGTTCCAAACATCTTCTACTTACGGAAGATGGAGGCCGCTGTGCTCTAATGGAACTTTCAGCAAAAATGTTTCTGTAACCTTCCCCAGCCTTGTGCCTCGAGACAATCCTGTCTCGGATGTCTTCAGAGAATTCCTTTGTCTTCATGCTTGGTTTGTGCTTTGACATGCACTGTCAACCCTGGGACCTTATATAGTCAGGTGTACGCCTTTTCAAATCACGTCCAATCAACTGAATAGACCACAGGTGAACTCCAATGAAGCTACTGAAACATCTCTAAAAGGATCAGTGGAAACAGAACGTACCTGAGCTCAATTTAGAGCTTCACGGCAAAGGCTATTAATACTTTCCGGATGCACTGTAGACTGTAAACTCGCATACAACTTTTTGGTCAAACCCGTAACACGTTTATTTCCCTCATTTAAAATATAAAAAAGGCTTACAGATTGATTTTTTTCTGATCCTATAACTCTGCGGTTAGTTGTTCTGGAAAATATAAAGAGATGTTTCAATATAATATCAACATATAGTTTCTATGTGAATTTATGTATTGAGTTTTTACAGCAAATGACACATCCATAATGCTGGTGATGCTCAAGTGTTTTTAATGCCTGTAAGAGTTTAAAGCATTCAAGCACAATACATTTAACTAGGGCTGCATGATATGAAATCTGACATCCCAATATTTTATTTTTCTGCGATATATATTGTGATATGAATACGATTTCAGCAGATGAGCTCTATAAAAGGGATTTTTTTTCTGTTTTAAAATATTTTGCAAATGATGTTTAACAGATTCAGGAAATTTTCACAGTATGTCTGATAATATTTTTTCTTCTAGAGAAAGTCTTATTTCTTTTATTTTGGCTAGAATAAAAGCAATTTTTATTTTTTTAAAAACATTTTAAGGACGTAATTATTTGCCCCTTTAAGCTAATTTGTTTTTTCGATAGTCTACAGAACAAACCATCATTATACAATAACTTGCCTAATTACCCTAACCTGCCTAGTTAACCTAATTAACCTAGTTAAGCCTTTAAATTACTTATATTAGCATATTTAAAGTCACTTTAAGCTGTATAGAAGTGTCTTGAAAAATATCTAGTCAAATATTATTTACTGTCATCATGGCAAAGATAAAATAAATCAGTTATTAGAGATGAGTTATTAAAACTATTATGAGCAGAAATGTGTTGAAAAAATATTTTCTGCATTAAACAGAAATTGGGGAAAAAATAAACAGGAGGGCTAATAATTGAGGGGGCTAATAATTCTGACTTCAACTGTAATTCCCTGAGACTCTTTTAGGCTTTGATCCTAACTGGGTGGCGTTTTGGTGACTGTCACTTTAAATTCAAATGAGATTGTGCCCTCTTAAAAGAGGGCGGAGCTACAAACACCTTTGTGTCAGCACAGCATAAATAAAAAAATAAAAAATAAATGCCTATATATATATATATATATATATATATATATATATATATATATATATAT